TTAGACCAATTCATATACTTTCAAAACATGTAATTGAAGTTTTAAAAGTAAGAAGTTTGAATTTTTCATATTAGACGAAAATCTGAAAGAGGTATTATTCCACACGCGCTATTAATTCTGACCGACCAAAAGGGATATATATATATATATATATATATATATAACTAGAAGGGCTGATAACTTAATCATAATTATTTGTGTGGTCATCGAGTACTGTAGAGATACGAAAAACATGGAAGTGTGGGAAATCATGCTGATAGTTTGGATTCCTTTAATTGTTGTTTCTGTTGCTTTGAGTTTGTTCTGTCGGCGACGTACTTGGGTTGGATTTGGTGGCGAAATCAGCGGAGGTGGTCATCATCATCATCATGGAGGAGTAGGCGGTTGGCATGGAGGCGCTGCCGGAGCTGATTTTGGAGGTGGCGGTGGAGATCTTGGTGGTGGTGGTGGCGGTAGCGGCGGAGATGGAGGTTGTGGTGGTGGCGGTGGCGGTAGCGCCGTTTAAAATGTTTAAGGAATTACTGATTGCACTTGTCTCTGCATTCTTCTGTTTGCTATATTGACCTAGTATTTCTCAGACAGATTAATGAATACTAAAAATGTTCGTTGTGATTTTAGTTTTTATTGTGTTATTTATTCAATTAGTTGTAAGAATAGTCAGTTGATTTTTTTATTAATAATATTTATTTCTCATGTGGCCTCTAATATAATTGCATATTTGTTTTTGGGTTAATCTCACCAATGGTCATTAGATTTACTCTCAATTCTACTTTAGTCCCTAATTTTTAAAATGACTTACAGAGTGGTCCTTGAGATTTTATTCTTTTTCAGTTTTAGTCCTTCTGTTAATTTGGTGTTAAATATTTAATGAAATCTATGTAAATTAGGTATCGAAATTGCAAACAGCTAAATCTTAAGGACTATTTGTGGAAATTAAGTTTTAATTTTTATATTGTTTTAGTCTCTAAATTTTAGATGTTTTCAATTTTGATCTTTAATTTTTATAAATTCTGTCAAATATTTAACATTTAGCTAACAAAATGACCGAAACTGAAGTAAAATAAAACCTCAGGAACCAATTGTGAGACATTTTAAAAATTAAAGACCAAAGTGAGATTGAGGTTAAACCTCAAGAGCTATTTATGGAATTAATTTTTTTTTTTTTAACAGAGCTCTATTCATTCGATTGGTTTAAGTAAACTCTATCTGCTTAAACATCAAGTCGAGAAGGTCACTGCTCATTTGGGCATATAAATTTGAACCTTCTTTTATGGTTCAGATTTTTTTATCCAAAATTCATGTCCTAATCCTTATCCCTCCAATCCTAAAGTGATATTTATAGAGGATGAAATCTACAATTAAATTAGTTAGAAGGCCAATAGTTGAATTTGAATGGTTAGAATGTTAGTATCGTGATCACAGAGAAAATAAATGAAAAAACAGAAAAAAAGATAGTGAGACATAGAGATTTAAAGTGGTTTGCCTAACAATTCAGGGTATGTCCACTGTAAGATCTTTGGATGTTCAGCTATGATTGTAGAAGATGAATACAATGAAGATCTCCGTAAATGTCGGGAGAATATGTAGAAAATACAACAAAATGTCTAGAAATTAACTGTTGAAAAGCTTCTAAGAAAATGTGAGAAATAAGATGACATGTATCAGTTTGCGTCTCTTCCCTTTGTGGTCGTGCAAGGGCTATAAATATAGGCATTGATTGCTGGAAAAATGATTTAGAGCAAGTTTTCCCTTGCCTTGTGATTGACGATTCTTTCCTTATAGGAAGGTGACTAAAGGAGCAAGCCTTGGTGTTATTGACTTTCCCTTTTATTTTTTTAGGCAAGATCTTACGGTTTGGCACTAATTTAATGATGGAATCATTTTGTAATCTCAAAATGCTGATGTAGCATCTCCGCGGAGTGAATAATTGTTTAGGTGGCCGATCCTGCTGATGGGTAATAGACTATTTCTGGTAGCCGATTTCGTGATTCAGTCTCATTCTTTGAGACATATGAGGACACGTGTATGATAAAAAATGAGGAACAAAATTTGATTTAAACAGTTAGCCTCCCACTCTGTAGTCGATTATAATCGGCTTAAAGAGTAGTTCGTGTGATCTGCATGTGTACCTTTTTTTTATTTTTTATTTTTGATATGATTTTAACTTAATCCAACAGTTAAAAATGTGAACTACCAATAAGAAGCCTACCGTAACTTTCTTTTTTAAGTTCAAGAACTAATAATATCTAATCTTCCTCCCTTATTAAAAAAAAAAAAAATACAAAGAAAAGATTTATCAGTTTAAGACGTAATTACATATATACATACCTTACATCCTTAAGTACAAGATATGGATTCCCTTCGTAGCCTTGCGGGCACGAACACTGAAGCCCTGTCGAAGTGTAATTGTATAACTCACAAGTGGAATTCACAAAATCTGCCCCGGCAACATACTCGTTGTTGCTGTGTGGTTTTTTTTTTTTTTTTTTTTTTATTACATGGAGAAATTCAATTTAATAATTAAGTCAATATAGACTTTAAAATAGCCATAAATGATCACTAAATATAAGAGTATTTAATTAAGGATAAAAATTGGATCCACTAATAAAGATAAATAAAGATAAAAATTGGATCCACAACATGATGGACAAAAAAATCGGCACCTCCTATCCCTTTCTTCCGTTCACGAAGTCGCCACCACCATCATAATCATTACCATGAGACTTAGAACTCCGTCTCTAGCGCTGGGTTCCAACAACCAGTAAAGAGGCGGTGACTCTAGCCCTAAAAAAGAAAAGCGAGCGGTGGAAAAAAGAAAAAAAAAAAAACACCTAGAGCTAGAAAGGGAGAGAGAGAAAAGGAGAGCAAAACATACTCGTTGTTTTCAATGTCCCAATAGTTGCAAGGAACATCATTCGTTTTATTTGGTTCAAAAGAAATTCCAAATACATCAATACGTGGAATAATTCAACAAATTCCACTTCAACAGTACCGTAGGTTGATTAAGCATCTCAGTGAACGAATAATTGACTGAATGATTTGAAAAATAAATAAATGGATTAATGTGGATATTTTGTAAATAAAAGCTGACAAATTACTTGACCATATTTCTACTATAAATGTATATAGTTTGCATTGAACTTTCCATGTCCTAAATTAATTCACTTGTATTTGTCTCCACGTCAATGATTTGCAGATCACCTGTGGCTAAGAGAGAGAGAAAAAAAGAAAAAAAGAAAAAAAAAAGAGCTTTTCGTTTAGAAATTAAGAATAAGAACTATAATTTGACACGTGCAATTTTAAAGGCAAGAAATTCAATAAGCAATTTGACACGCAATTAATGATAAGCCTCTTCCGCCCTATTATATGATTTTTGGTCCATTTATGCCACTATCCTTTCTCCTCCGCGGGGTTAATGATTTATGTCCGAGTCAAAAAAAAAAAAAAAGTCACCTTTCGAGTACCAATCCAAGGTTTGCCTGTTTAAGATTCTCAAAAAAAAAAAAAAAAAAAAAAGTTTGCTTTTTGGATTTTTTTTTTTTTTTTTTTTTTTTTTTTTTTTTTAATCTTTATCTTGTTGAAAGCTCGTGCTTTACAGGTGCATATTAAGTTTGTTGATTTTATTTTCATTCATGTGAGCGTGTTTGCTAACTCATTTTTTTTTTTTTTTTTAAAAGAAGTGGATGACTCAAAATACATGTTTGAATCGAAACTTTTACTTGAATATAATGTATATGTAGAACACGTACAATAAAAGAATGAAAAATGATTTTGGTCGAAGTAAACGGGGAATTTAGATAGGGAGTACATTTGAATAAAGATTATAATGGAAGGAAAAAACTTAAGTGCGGATATATTTTGAGAAAACTATTTAATAGAGATTAATTTTGATACAATAAAATTTAGATGTCCACATGAAAAGTATTAAATAGGGACATTTTTTAGAAAAATTTGTTTAACGGGATAAGAAAAAAGAAGGCACTTCCGTAAGGCATATTTGAAAATATAGGATTTAACCAACGTGTAAGTCATGACCAAAATACAACGGTGCGAGTTTGCGCTTCAATACACATTAGGGATCGAAGTTATTTCAGTGAGACACATGCAAAGATATAAGTTTTTTGTTAAAAAAATTAGTGTAGATAACACAAATATATGTTTAAATCAAAACACGTGTTTTCGTCAAATATAATGCATGAGTAGAGTGCGAGTAAGGAAAAAAAAAAAAAGATTTTGGCTGAACTACTTAGGATCCATATGAGAAGGAAAAAAGATTTATAAATAAGTGCAAATTGGTGAAAAAATTTCTTAACGGGTAGTTATAAGTAAAACTATTTATGAAGGTCGCATTTAATAAATGATATCTTAGAAGGTTAATGTAAGAGAAATACTTGAATGTAAATGTATGTGTATAGAGTTATTTTAATAGGACAAATTAAAAAGAAGTAAATTAATAATAATTAAAAAGAAGAAGAAAAGTGAAAGGAAGTAAACAATAAGGACTAAACATTTAAAAAAAAGCATAAGGAGTAAAAAATGGGGTAAAAACCATATTTGTGTCAAATATCCATTAGGGGTACATATAAGATGGAAAAAGATATCTAAAAGGGGCACATCTAAAAAAAATATACATTAATAGGCAATCGTAAAGCAAAATATTCATAAAGAGGTCACGTTTGATAAATGGTATTTAAAAATTGTAAAAGGGATACTTAAATAGCGACATATTTGTAAAGAGATGTTGTAATAAGGACAAATGAGAAATAAGTAATGTAATAAAAAAGTAAAACGAATCAAAAAAGAGAAAGAGATTAAAAAGCACGGACTAAAAGTGCAAGGACTAGAAAAGAAAGGAATTCTAATTAAGAAATTATAAATTTGCCCTAAGACTAGGCTTCGTTTTTATTTTACTAGAAACTCCAAGCTTGTGAATATTCATTTACAAATAGTCAAACAATACTTTTTATTTTGGGATAAAAATCACTTTTAGTATCTTCTATTATAGCTAAACATCTCGCTAGTATTGTTAGACGTTTTGTATATTTCTTTCTTCAATTTTGTGCTGTGAAAGAGAGCAGTGGAAGTTCATGCAAAGAAGAAGAACGATCACCACTAGTACTGTCCAAAGCTGACCCAAATGATGTCGAGATGACATCCCAATTAGGATCGATTAATTTTCCTTTTCTAGCGTACTCAATCTCTTCATATTGTGGTTGAAAATTTGAGGCCTTTTCTGATATTTTGATCCCCTCCAACTCTACTGTGACTTCTTTCATTGTAGGTCTTTTCCTTCCACTCAAACTCAAACACCTATTTGCAATGTTTGCAACTACCAAAACTTCCTCTTTGGGACCCTCCATAACTTTAGCGTCAAGGATGTCAAACAGACGGTTTTCTTTCATTGACAGAATGAAGTATATGGCTAGACTTCTACCCTCGGGCGATCTATTCATCGAAATTGCTTTTTGTCCTGTTAAAAGCTCAACAAGAAGTACTCCAAAACTATAAACATCGCTCTTCTCGGTAAATTGGTTGGATTGGAAGTATTCTGGATCCAAATATCCAAATGTTCCGTGCACTTGTGTGGTCAGATGAGTCTGATCTACGTTGAGTGTTCTTGAAGTCCCAAAATCCGCAATTTTCGCTTTGTACTTGTCATCCAAGAGTACGTTTGTAGATTTGATATCGCGGTGATAAATGGGACGAGATGCCGCAGAGTGTAAGTAGAAAAGAGCTCCTGCGATTTCTGTGGCAACTCGCAAACGAATTTCCCACGTAAATGGAAACTCCTCATTCTTGTTGTGAATATACTCGGAAAGAGTTCCGTTTTGTATGAATTCGTATACTAAAAGAGGAACTTCAGTCTCCAAGCAACACCCCAGCAATTTGACCACATTTCTGTGATTGATCTGCGATAGAATAACAACTTCATTGATGAATTCGGCGATTTTACCCTCATCAAGTATTTTGGACTTCTTTACGGCAACAATTCTTCCATCTGCTAGCATCCCTTTATAAACTGTTCCTTGGCCTCCTTGTCCAAGAATTCTATCGGCATTGAAGTTGTCTGTAGCCTTCTTTAACTCCTTTGCTGTGAACAACTTGGTTTTCTCTACATTAACTTTGCTTGAAGACATTTCTTGCTGCAACAATAAACCACCGTTTCGTTTGAAAAACTTTTCCTTACGTCGAGTTCTTCGTCTCTTCTTTATAATCTTGTGTAGACACCATGACGAAATTAGTAGGAATAGCAGTGAGAATCCCACGCTAAGACCTGAAAATATGTGATCCATAAATCATTTGAAGTCCAAAAACGAAAGAAAATAACGTGTGTATATGTATTGGAACGAAAGCACTGCATGATGCAACATTCTTCTAAATCCTTCAAGTCTCTTAATTCTCATAGAATAAATATCTATGCGCAATGTGCGTACTACGTACTGGAAAGAAAACAAAGAGCCATAACTATCTCATTTTCTCATGCATCAGAGAGACTCTAATTGCCATTTGAGACCGGGCTATATATCTATATATCTATAACCTATAATCTATAACTATATATCAAAAGAGAATGCACTTATTATCATATAAATACAAAATATTATTCAAATTTTGGTCTTTCTATTTTGTCCTTTTGTGATTTTTTTAATAAGTGTGGAAACATTCTTTGATAATGTTAAGGTATGGTCCCTGAAAGGTGTTGGTCATGGTGTATTTGTATAGCACTATTTCAATCTGCTTATAGATAATGCAGCATCTAGCTTGTTTTTTTCACAGCTTGAATCACAATTTTATTGCTACATCGTCTTTTCTAATAAAACTTCAAATTTTCTGCTATAGTGTTTTCTCTCATATAAAATTTACTTTTAAACTTAAACTTAAGTTCTCAACTTTGAGTTATAAAAATAACAGCACTCTCAGCAATGATTTCATCAAATTTCAACGGAATCTATCACGTCAATTAGTCATAGGTGTGGAATCTTTTGGGGCCCGTTTAGTTCGCCGATTTGAGTTGAGATATTACTTTATGTGAGAGCTTTATCTATAGTAAAAAAGTTAGATGAGGCTGTTTCTAAGAGCTTTTTACTGTATCAAAACTTGAATCGGTGAAATGAACCGGACCTTGATCTATCAATTCATATATATTTATAAACCTGTGTGACTTTGACCAACTCTTCTACACCATGGGCATCCATCATTGAATTTTCAATGATTACTAGTCTACTACTAATGGTTGAAAAATAAATAATAACTAGAAGATGAACATAAAAATTAAAACTAGAAATAATTAGAAGAGCAATTATATATATATATATATGTATGTATATACGTTGCATGCAAATACGTACCTAAAATAACCCTCTTTCCTGCTGTTCTTTTCCTCGGATCATCTGGCCACAAGCATTGATAGCTTCCAGAAAGATTCATACAAATGCCGTCCCCGCAAGGGTTATTACCGTCTGATTTGCATTCATTTTTCTCTGATGTGTATGCATACATATATATGGGAAAATGTACCAACTCAGAGTTTTCATTTAATGTCAGCCAAGTATACGAACATATTTTTAACCAAAACAATGTTATGCATCAAAAAGGAGAAAATACTACATACTTAACGACATGCAAGTATAATTATAAAATAAAATTTGGTTTTATATAAATTTCGTTTATAATTATTATGTCATAACATGGACAAATTGTCAAACTACGTACTTATTTTTTTAAGTGCAACTACGTATGCTAACTATTTCTTGGTAGTAAATAAATCTCTCACATGCCCCTCAAAAAACAAAGGATTAATTCTAGAATTGAACGCTGAACTTTACCCAATGATTTTACTTTAGTTTCTGATTTTTAAAACGTTTCAAATCTCTTAATATATCGGTTTATTTGTCATTTCGTTAAGTTCAATATTAAACAAACATTGAAATACGCACATGGTGCCGATAAATTATAACACTATTCTAATATAATTATCCATGTTTCATCTTATTTTTGACATCCAATTGACCAAAAGACCAAAATCCGAGACAAACTAATAGAATATCTCAATGTTAAATTCAAATATGCATGTTAAAAGTAATTGTGCATGGTTAGGGATAAAGTTCTTATATCCATTAGTGAGATGTGGAAGGTGCAGAAAAAAGAAAAATATTGGAATTAAAATAAGAGGAGGCAATGTTTAATTACCTTGACATCCATCAACAATATAGGGATTCCCTTCAAAACCACGATTGCAGTAACACTTAAAAGAGCTTGCATTCCTGTCGTTTTCGCAATGGAAAGAGCTTGTACTGTTTAACGCAAAGGAAATTCCCAAGTCTTCCATTGTCCAATTATACAAGCTCCACTCCAACGCCACAGGAACTTTGCCCATCTCTTTAATTCCCTTATATCCACCGGAGTGGTTGACTTGAAACCATTCCAGATCAACCAAGAACGCGTACACACACTCCCCTCGTTGCCGTCTACTATTATTCCTCCAATATATAGAAATTTGATCCCCAAACTCCGTATGAAAAGATCTGAGGTTCAAAGGGATCGTCGTTTGACAGCAGTTCATGCCGTTGCAGCTTTTTTCTGTCGTAGTCTTGTCGCAAATGGACATGCAAGCTCCCACAGTGTCGGCGTAGTAATCGTTAGTCGATTTCATCAGGGCGAGCTGGTCGCAGCTCACAGCAGTAAATCTGTTCTTTTTCTGCGAGAACACAAAGGGGCTTCCCGTCAAATTCGCTGCTTCGTACAATTTCTTCTCTCGGCATTTGGAGAACGTTATTGGGTGTCTCACTTTGATGGTTGACTCCATTTCCACGTTGATTTGCAGGACCTCTAGCTCCGGGTCGTGTCTCAGAAGTGGTGTGGATTTGAGGCAGAGGATTTCGAACCATTTGTCGAGATAACACCCAGCTCGTATTCCGAACGGGTACGGGATTTCTACATCGCCGCACCGCGATTTGCAGCCGCGTTTCGCTATTTCATGCAGTTCTGATGATGATGACGATGATGCTAATGATGGCGTGGTCATTTGGCAGAAAAGAAGAATGATGTGAAGTAGCAAGGGAATCATGGCGGGAGTTTAGTTAGATTAATTAGTGTAAATGATTTTTTTTTTGATGGACTAAATGCTTGGTTTACAACGTACTGATTAAACAGAACAGATGCTAACTATATGTCACCATATCGACCCCTTGGATAAGCTATTACATTATTGCTTGTTGAACTTTTTGTTTATTTGCAAGATGCCACCCAATTCTTTTCCTTTTTTTTTTTAATCAACTCCTTGAAAATAATTAAAAAAATTAAAAAAGTGGCCAGACCCCAATTGATAACGACGTTGATTTTTCATTACTATTGGAAATTAACATGCAACTGTCGCTCATGAGTCATAAGACAAAAGTTTTCATATGTAAGAACTAATTAACAACTCGTCTCAATGGCTTAAAATAGATAAATTAAACTGATCACTCACGCCATTGATTCATAATTATACGTTGATATCCGTAGTAATTTGGAAAAAAAATAATAAAACAAAAATTAACATCTTTATCTATTAGGGGTATTCATCATTTTTGTCGTAAATGAAAGTCAATAAGTCAAAAAAAGAATATTTCCTTTTCCATCTTTGGCTGTATCGGGTATTAATTCTCCACTAGACCTGCGTTTATTTATTTATTTTTCATAGACTTTATGTATTTTCTCACAAAAATTTAAATTTAATTTTTTATTATATTATTTTTTTTACATATACAATTTAAACAAACAAAATGTGATGAGTTTGAAAAAGTAGCCAATACATGCAAAAAATAAATAAATAAATAAAAAGAGAAAAGAAAACAAAAAGTTAACCAACACAGGTGGCATCTTCTAAAAGGGGCGTCTCCGTATTGTAAACGTTTTGGTGTGGTCCTTTCTTTCTGGATATGATAAGAATAGTCGCTAATTTTGAGTGGTTGTGAAGCTGCAGCAGGAGAAGACATTTTAAAAGGACCACGCCAAAACTCAACACATTTTAAGTACGTTTGTTTCACAATTTAAGTTAAAAATTTAAGTTGTATATGTAAAAAAAAATATATATTATAATAAAAAATTAAATTTAAATTTTTGTGAAAAATACTATAATAATAAAATTTGAGTTGTGAAGGAAAAAAACTTGAGTTTTATCTAAAAAATGGCAATCTTTTTTAATCTATTCTAATTTAATAATAAAAAGTCACGGGCTCTTGTAATGATACTTTTTCTTAAAATTGTCGCGTGGAGACCTCTTTTTTTCTCATTCTTATTTTTTCCCTCTTCTTTACCCTTTTATCTTCGTTTTTCTTATCCTCTAAATGTTTTGCTTTTTAGTTTTTTGTTTTGTGAATTTCTTTTACAGGTTACTTCAATTTTATAAAAATAATTCTCTCTTACTTTATTGTTATAAAAGTTATTCATTTTGCATGTGTTTCTATTTAAATTTTTTTTTGTCTCAAAATTGGTGCGGTTGTGGAGTTTGGGTAGATAATTTTGAACCATTTATCGCTGATGAGTCATTTACTATATATGGCCACGAGTAGTTATATATATAATGCTAGTTGTTTTTAATTAGTACATAAAGAAAAAGGCCACGTATAGTTTTTTTTTTTTTAAATTTTAACTTAAATTTACTTTTAAAAAAACGTTTAAAGTCAAAAATTTTCATATGTAAAAACTAATTAACAACTTGCCTTAACGGATTAAAATAGATAAATTAAACTGACTACTCATACCATTGATTCATAATTATAAGTCAATATCCGTAATAATTAGAAAAAAAAAAAACAAAAATTAACGTCTTTAACAATTAGGGGTATTCATCGTTTTTGTTGTAAATGAAAGTCAATAAGTCAATATGAAAAATTTCTTTCTCCATCTTTGGCTGTGGCTGTATCGGGTATTGAAACTTCTCCGACAGACCTGCGTTTATTTATTTATTTTTCATTAATATTTTTCGTAGACTTGGAGTAGCAGATGAATTTTCATTAGTACTCTGGAGGTTGTCCCGTTTCAATCATTGATAAGGAAATATATAGTTGATAGCCGCCCTAATTGAACTTTAAAGTGTTCTTTGGCCTCCTTGTCCAAGAATTCTATCAGCATTAAAGTTGTCTGCAGTCTTCTTCAAGGGCTTTGATGTAATAAATAGCTTGAATTATCTAAGCCTTGATCGGCAGAGATTCAAACGTTTTTCACCCACTAACTTTCAAATTGCAAGCCTAATTTTATATAAAATTATAATTTGTTGCAAAACAAAGAGCTATAATTGTTTGCTACTAATTAAGAGAGGCATCTCCCACAAACTAGTACTAATTAGAAGTTTGCAACATTCTTTGTTAATTTGAAGGGACTCGAATTCACTACGAATCGAAAGATGCTATCACATACAAACTCTTTCCTCTAAGCCTCAAAGGCTCGACCCTTAAGGGTTCTGTCAACTCCCACTTTCATACAAAAAAACAGGAAACAATCTATGGAGTCTCATTAGCAATAAATACAAGTCATTCAGGCATTATCAGACACCAATGTTTTCTCACTCAAGCCCTCATGCTCACTTCCAGCATATTTCCCTTATTTTCACTATATTTTCCTGCATTTTCCCTTCTCTCTTATATCATTCTTCTCTCATTGACTCATTGTAGTGCTTTTTAACATCCATAGTGAAAAAACTTGTGCACAACATAGGAGGTAGCTCTCATTAACTAGGAAACCTCTATAAATTGTCATGTCTTTTTTTCTACTTTATGTTATTTCATGTTTACTAACGCTTTCGTAGTTATGACGGGTCAATTACACTAATTGATGACTCTTAACTCAGCCATCCATTCTTGATTCATCAATGGTAGATTTTACCCTCTACAATAGTGATAATAATGAGGGCTATGTGACCAGAAAGAAGAATGATGTGAAGTAAAAACTCATGTCATTGATTAATTAACTCATATGCAAATCAAAATAAGTCATTATCAGTAAAGAAATAAGAAAAACCAATATAAAAAGGACATATTTATCAATTGGGGCTTTTATTATTTTTGTTTTCAATACAAGTGACTAATTGTCTGGAAGAACAAAACCTTTTCTATATGCACATGACTAATACTGCGGAACTTCGAAACCTTTGTGTGTGTGTGTGTGAATATATAGACTTGGAAAATAGCGGACGAATTGGAGGTTGTCATGTCTAAATCATTGAAGAAGAAACATGCAGTAGATTACCGCCAACCTTATCATAAGTTATAACTTTGGCATTTCTATCTATGAAACGCTATTAATAGATTTATGTTTAATTTTGATTTGAATCACATTTTGATTTATTTGTTTTGTTATGACAAATTTTGTAAATTCTCTTTGAACTTTGTTACTTATATTAAAATACCCTCTGAATTTTAAAATATGTATGTTGTGTCTCCCAACTATGACATGTCTCTAAGTTTTCCCATCCATCTAATTCTGTCAAGTTTTTTTTTAACGAAAATGCTTATAAATTCCCCTGAACTTTGTAACTTGGGTCGATATGCCCTTTGTACTTTCAAATGCACATGTTGTGCTCTTTGAACTATGATATGTCTCCAACTTTTACCCCTTCATTTTGATTCTATCAATTGTCTGAGCGAAAATGTTGATATGACCATTAAATTACTGATTGGGTATGATTTTTGCAGTTTTTGAATGTCTTTACCATTACATTAGTTAGACACTAATTCTCAAAACCATTAGAAGCAATAAAGAGGAGAAAATGAGGAGCAAATCTATACAAGTTAATGGTTTTGTTAATTTTTTGGTATTCTTTTTCTTTTTCCTTTTTCGTTGGAGTAGGTTATTAAATTAATAAATTTCTTAATGTAGAGGATAGGTTCTTCCTTGAATCTCTATTACGTGTTTTTTTTTAATGGAGAAGCTTTTTTCGTAAGGTTTGTTAAGTTCATAGGTTTCTTAAGGTTTGTGTGGAATTCTCTAAAAAAAAATGACCTGCACTTATTTATATTTAGAAATGCTACACACACACACACACACATATATGTGTGTGTGTGTGTGTGTATGAGTTTTTAATGGTTACGTTTCCATCAGTAGTTACTATCAAATTTAGAAATCTGATGACACACCGTGATAAATATTCAATATCATTAATTGTTATAAATTTTTTTAGTCAACTATTCAATTTATTACGATTGTCGGATCAATATCTTATGGTTAAAATAATAATACTCATCGAAGTGTAAATATTAGAGTAACAATTAAAATTGTACCCATATGTGTGTGTGTGTAAAGCATAAACATGCATGTTTTATGTCGAGCACTTTTGTTTAGGTTAAATATTATTAAGTTAAGAAAAAAACCAAAAAACAAATAAAACCCATTACATTATACATATTTGCTCCTCATTTTTTCCACATTATTGCCTCTGACCAAATAATATTTTGAGAATTGGTGTCTAACTAATATAAAGGTATTTAATAAAACCTCAAATATCATACCTAATCAGCAATTTAATGGTCATATCAACATTTCCGTTTAAAAATATGACAAAATAGAGATGACGGGGAAGTGTTGGAGTTATATGATAGTTTGGAGGTCACAATAATTGCATTTTAAAGTTCATAGGTCATGTTGACATAAGTGACAAAGTTCATAGAGAATTTCTATGCATTTCCCTTAAAAAAAAACTTTACAGAGTTAGACGGAGAGGTGAAAGTTAGAAACAAATTAGTTCGGGGGTCACAAGTCCCACATTTTAAAGTTTAAGAAGCATGTTTACACAAGTGACAAAGTTTAGAGAAAATTTATAAAATTTGTCCCATTTTTTTCAAAGGTTGATTTAGTTTTGATTGAAGAACTAGTTTTTTTTAAAGAAATTGAAGAACTAGTTCGGTTTTGATTAAGCGGCCTCAAGGTAGGCCATGATTGAAGTCTCGTGAAACGGTGTTTGCAAAAACCCAAACCTGCATTCATAGTTTGGTTTTGGTACCCCCCATGATTGAGGTATCTACTTGATATTATCAAAACACAAGATACAAAACTCAGATTTCAATATAACAGTGTACTAAAATGAAATTCTTCCTTTAAAAAACGTTTAGAAAACCGCAAAATTTTTCTCACTCTAACTCTAACCATAAGCGTCGGCCAAGATAAATCTAAGTGCTCTTCGACCTCCACTTCTAGTGAAATGGATAAATTAATTGATTTTCATTGAAAAATTATGCAACTCCGCAACTTTTGATGCATAAAGTTTAGGTAGTTTGCACATATAATGTAATGTAAGAGCAAAGATACACATTTACATAATCTAGCTCCTGACAACAATTTAAAAATATTAAATTTTAAGGAAATTAAATATCAAACATGACACATAAAAAGGTGACCTTGAGTTTAGATTGCAAATTTAAAACATACAACTATTATCCAAATATCCTGGAATATCATTTAATACATAAAAAGAAGCAAACTGATGTTATATTGGCATATCAAAACTCACAAAGACAATAGCGGCAGTTCTTGCAGCAATGAAGAACGAGTACTGGTAGTCTTATCCAACGCTGATCCAGCAGAAGTCGAAGCAACATCCCAAGGCTCCATAAACTCAGTCCTGATAAATTCATTTTCTTCATGGTTTTGTCGAGCAATAGAAGCGGTTCTATCGGGCTTTTGGATCCCCTCTAACTCCATGGAAACTTCTTTCATCGTCGGTCGATTCCTTCCATTTATATTCAAGCATCTCTGCGCAAGGTTGGCAATTTGTCTGATCTCTTCTTTTGGAGCATCTTCGAGAACTTGAGAATCAATAATATCAAACAAATTGTCTGCCTCCATTGTCATAACGAAATGTGTGGCTAAATTTCTTTCTTCTTCTGACCTTGTTACTGATATTGCTTTTTGTCCCGTTAAAAGCTCAACAAGAACCACCCCGAAGCTGTAAACATCACTCTTCTCAGTGAATTTGCTTGATTGGAAGTATTCTGGGTCTAAGTAACCAAATGTGCCATATACTATTGTGGTGAGGTGAGTTTGCTCCAAGGAAATTGTTCTTGACGTGCCAAAATCTGCAACTTTTGCTCTATACTTCTCGTCAAGGAGTATATTCGTAGACTTGATGTCTCGGTGGTAAATCGGAAAAGATGCTGCTGAATGAAAGTAGGAAAGAGCTCCCGCGACTTCGGTCGCAACTCGTAACCGCATTTTCCATGTGAAAGGAAACTCCTCATTTTGCTCGTGAATATACTGGGACAAGGTTCCATTTGATATGAATTCATAGACTAGAAGAGGAACTTCTGTCTCTAAACAACATCCCAGCAATTGAACCACATTTCTATGGTTTATTTGTGAAAGAATGACAACCTCATTAATGAATTCCGAGAGTTGGGCTTCATCAACCATTCTAGACTTCTTTATGGCAACAATTTTTCCATCTTCCAGCATTCCTTTGTACACAGTGCCCTGACCTCCTTGGCCTAGAATTCTGTCTACACTAAAATTATCAGTGGCCTTCTTCAACTCATTCGATTTAAACAACTTGGTTTTCTCAACATTGTTATCGCTGGAAGATAATTGTTGTTGCAGCAACAAACCACCATTCCGTTTGAAAAACTTTCGCTTGCGTTTTATGTCTTTTCTTTTCTTTACGAACTTGTATATGCCCCAAGGACAGAAAAGTAACAGCAATGCTCCAAGTCCGCTGCCAACACCTGCATAACTCAAATAAAAAACTCATAAATATTGTCTAATTGAAATTTTTATAATTGAAATTTTTATAACGTAGACATTATTTTATGAATAAAAGGAATAAATACAAAATAATAAATTTAGATATTAAAAAAAAGGTTATTTGTAAAATGTGTAAACAAGTTTTAACATCGGGTGAATTACAGCCGATATTAGAAGCATTTAAAATTTGACAGTTTTTGATAGAGGGGAAAATTTTGCAAGAGACTGAAATTTAAGGAGGAAAATGTTAAAATTAAATTTTCAGAGGTATTTTGTGACAAGACTTATAGTTTGAGAGGAACATATGTAATTTGTCCATCTTAATATATTGAGAAAAAATTTAAACAACAATTCAAAGAAGCAAAAGTACATATTCTATCAGCTTAGAACTCGTAGTGAGAAGTGTTTTTATACACTGAGAAAAGCTTAACTTGTTTCTTTGATGTTTTATTTTTGATTTTATGTTGTTTGCACTTGGTTTCGTTTCACTTCATTATTAGGGACTTTTTTTGATAGGCCTGCCGAGCAGTAGAGCCAATTTTTTATTGTTAGATTTAATGAGAATAAACAGCTTTCGATACAAATCTGACTATTGAAATATAAAGTACTACTTATAGTTCTTTTTTTTTTTTTTTCTAGTCCCACTAGAGAAACTCTCTTATTATTAATCTCTGGTTTTCTTATGTCGTAAATTTAGGAGACTTCTCAATAAAGTTTTTGCTTATAATATTTGAAGGAAAAACAAAAAGGAACAATATGTAGCTCCTATTTTTTTGGATTAATCTCACAGGTGCACGTGAATTTTGAAGTTATTCTCATTTTGCTCTTTAAACTTTGAAAAATCTCATTTTTCCTCCAGAATTTTAAATTTGTCTCATATATATAAGCCCTTTTGTGAGAATTTTTGTTAAAATTAAAAGAAAAAGAGGGGATTAAGTGTGAGTATGTAGTTTTTATTTGCTTTTTTTTTAACGAAAAATTCAAATAGAAAAATCACGTGAATGCATTACTCTCTTTTTCTATATGACATTAATTACAACAAAAAGAGTTAAGTGAAAAGAATTCGAAGTCTAAAGTGCAAAGTAAGAGTTTTTTAAATTTGAAAAGTAAATGAGGATGACTCTAAATTTCAAGGCACATGTGATAATAATTTAATTTTTTAATAAAGTCCCTTTAATTAATTCTTATGGTGTCATATAACACATCACTTGTCTTGTGTACGGTTCTTTTATTTTATTTTTATTTGTTCTAATGCTTAATTTTAATGGATATTTCTCTACTAAAAACCGAGAGGAGAGAGACATAGAGATAGGTAGAGAAAAACCTATGAGGATAAACTTGAGCTTGTAAGTGCAATGGTAGCTCCCATAAGTATTCACACAAGTGCCCCCTGGCCCACACTGCGGGTTATAATCTCGGCATTCATTGATATCTAGCAGGTAAAAACCATAAGAACATCTAAAAGTTAATATAAACATTAAAGTGAATAAGTATAAATTAACGTGTTTAAGCAATATTATAAATACCAAGTTAGCCTTGAATTTTAAACAATTAGAACTTGTCTCACGTTTTTATACCACTCCCTCGTAATATAATATAACAAGCACAATAAAATTTTGTTTCAAACACCATACATATAATATGTTGGTCAAAAGAATACCACTTGTCCATATATGCTGTATATACAGTTCAATTCACAAATTAATGCTAATAAAATGACATTCTAAGCTGGCATGCATCACTGGAATAACATTAATTTCTATACTAAAACAAATACTTACCTTAGAAGTGGTTTTTGTTTTTTTTTTCCATAACAGTTGAACAAAACACATAATTACAGATGACTAAGCTCATCATAACAAGTTATATTGCATTCGAGGTTTACCTTGACTGCATCCGTCAATGAGATACGGATTTCCTAACAATCCGTCGCATTGACATTCTAGACCATATGCCGCAGTAGTGGAAGGGGACTCTGCCGAAAGACCAGATCCATAATTGTAATAATAACTTCTAGCATAATTGCCGCAGTAGTGGAAGGGGACTCTGCCGAAAGACATACTTATATTGAATACGTAGAAATCTGTGTAATTTACATACCAGCTTATATTGAGAGGAACATAGTCCATACTACGGATTCTCGCAATATTTGTATTGTTATTATTCCAATAATAATCGTCTACCAAGAAAGCGAATTTGCAATCTCTCCCATATGGATCTTGATCAGCTACAGAAGGGGTACTACGATTTTCGAACGTGATTTCGAAGGCTTTAAAAGAATCATCACGAATGAAGGTTTCGCAGCAGTCTATGCCATCGCAATAAGTTTTGTTAGTTGAATTGGTACTACTATCATTTGGTGAGCAGATCGACGTGCATCCTGTCTGAGAGTTTGTGTTGCCTGAACTTGAATTTACTTTGGCGAGGACGCCACAACTCACCGCGACAAAGGTGCTAGACGAAGACAAGTAAAAAGGCATTCCCGTTAAATTCAACGCTTTTGCGGCTTTTTTGCCTCTGCAATTGAAGAAACTTATCGGGTTTTTAACCTGAAATTGATGTCTGAAGGTGTAAATTTCTGAATTAACGGTGTAAAAATCTGAAATATGGAGCACCTCCCATTGGGTGTGTTTTAGGAAAGGCCTATGAGGGATGGTAGAATTGTTGCAGGATATTTCAAACCACTTGTCAAGGGAACAATTCGGGCCGATTCCAAAAGGAAATGGGATGTGCACGTTTCCGCAACGCTGTTCGCAACCAGGCTTCGAAATATTCAGTGCTGCTTCTGATGCCGATAATACATTATTTGGTACACCCAGCATGCAAGTTAGGACAGTAACTAGCAACTGTAAGACGACCATTCTTCTCATGTTGATCTCCTGAATGTCCATATTTGTCGTCACTAATTGATATAGATCACAGAAGCAAATATAGCTCATCTAACTTCATATTGTAAAAGAAGAAAATGAAAGTTAAAACCAAGATAACCTTTAATGGACGAAAAGTAAGCAACTCGCAAAATAAAGACAGTTGCAAACAAGTAAAAGAAAAATGTTTGGGATTGCCACTGCGTACTAAATACTACAACATGCGACTCCCCATGCTATAGAATCCGCTTCCTTTTAGTATGAACACTACATATACTTAAAACACCATATATGTTTGGCCATTAAAAAAAGTAAACCAAAAAAGTTAGAAAGAGATATGCTTTTTGTCTGCTTTGAAAAACATAAGGGATACTTTTTAGATTTCAAAAAACTCAAGGATAAAATTTATATTTACGTAAAACTATTTTCTCCCTCAAAACAGCTTTAAAAAAAATCAAAAAATGGTTTAAAAAAAGTGTTTTCTGGTTTATTTTTGTTTATTACTAGTTGTACTCTACATGTTATGCACGTGAAGTGTAATACGTGTGTCAATTTTAATTACCAAGTTATTATTAAAAGCATATGAAATATGAATATAAAATTTTTTTAAAAAAAGGAATAGCAAAGAAAAAATAAAATTTTAGGGGAAGAAGCAAAAAAAAAAAAAAAAAGAGTAAAAAAATGTCTAAAATGAAGAAATAAATAAATTTTAAGGTAAAAGGGACTAAAACGAAAAAAACAAAGTTTAAAGGCAAAAATAGAAAAGGTATAAAAAAGGACCAAAATAAAAGGTAAATAATAGGTGCAAATATTTGACACATGAGACCATAATCTGACATATATAAGTCTGCAAGAGACAGATAATACGATATTTATAGACTAAAAATAGTTTTAAAATAGTTATACTTAGTACTTGATATAATTATAAATCAAAATGCTCCAAATCAAATTCAAGCACAAAGTCAAGATAATATGTGAAATAATACGTTAATAAAAATATTGTGGAACTGAGGGAATATTTCATATTAATTAACTATAAAACTGTAATTTAACTTTTATTTATAATTCATCGTTTTCTTATACGAGAGAAACGTTTGAATGTGCAAGTAAGAGATGATGTGTACTTACCGGCTGAATGGATGCTCTGTGTCTGTTTGTGTCGTTAGGCAAATCCAAATAGAGCTTAATTTCGACTAAAAAAGTAAGCAATTAAAAAAAGAAGAACAAGGATTTCCAAATTAAGAGGTCTTACTTAAAACTCGAATAAGAGCCCATTTTAAACAAATTGCGCTCTAACCACAAATGCATTAATCATTGTTTTGTGGATCAACTCAAAAATATTTTCACTCGTGACAAAAAAAAGTGATATGATAAGAATAGTCGCTTGCTAAAATTAAATGATCGATATACCCAGTGAACTTAAATTTTGAATGGTTGTGAAGCTGCAGGAGGAGAAGACATTTCAAAAGAAAGACCAAGACATTTCAATAGTAAACAAACAATTTTGAGTGGTTGACTAAGAAAGTCTTTGTTTTTTGGTATGTTTCCGGTCTTCCTTTTGATTACAATACGGCATTGCATTATTGTACTACCCCACGCCAAAAAGACATAGAGGAGACGCTCCTTTTAGAAGATGCCGCCTGTGTTGGCTAACTTTTTCTTTCTTTTTTTTTTCTCATGTATTGGCTACTTTTTCAAACTCAACACATTTGAGATATGTTTGTTTCACAACTCAAATTAAAAATTTGAGTTGTATATGTAAAAAAAAAATATTATAATAAAAAATTAAATATAAATTATTGTGAAAAAACACTATAATAATAAAATTTAAGTTGTGAAAGAACAAAAACTTTACTTTTATCTAGAAAAATGACGATATTTTTTAATCTAATCTAATTTAACAATAAAAAGCCACGGGCTCTTGTAATGATACTTTTTTTTAAAATTGTCGCGTGGAGACCTCTTTTTTTCTCATTCTTTTTTTTTTCCTCTTCTTTACCCTTTTATCTTCGTTTTTCTTATCCTCGATGTTTTGCTTTTTATTTTTTTGTTTTGTGAATTTCTTTTACAGTTTACTTAAATTTTAGAAAAATAATTCTCTCTTACTTTATTTTTATAAAAGTAATTCATTTTGCATGTGTTTTTATTTAAATATTTTTTGTCTCAAAATTGGTGTTGTGGGGTTTGGGCAGATAATTTTGAACCATTTGTCGACGTAACAGCTGGCTCCTATTCCGAACGGGTACGGGATTTTTACATTGCCGCACCGTCCATATTTGTCCATATTTATCAATTGGTGGTGTTGTGTTTTTATGCATGTGTTTTTCTTTTACTAATTGTGTAGAATGTCCATATTTGTCGTCACTAATTGATATAGAAGAAAATGAAAGTTAAAACCAAGATAACCTTTAATGGACGAAAAGTAAGCAACTCGAAGAATAAAGACAGTTGCAAACAAGTAAAAGAAAAATGTTTGGGATGCCACATGCGACCCCCCATGCTATAGAATCCGCTTCCTTTTAGTATGAACACCATATACACTTACCGTGAAAAATGTTCCAAGTAAAAGCCTTAAAGCCAAATCAGATAATCACGAAAAATGCTTTCTATCACGAGTCATAGATTTATGAACATATATGTTTTATTGGCTTGATAATTATATTATAATAAGTCTCATGATGTCTTCTCGTTTCTTCTCACTCTTTTCTATATGTCTCTCGACCGTCGTCTTTCTTTCCTCCACGTGTTTCTCTTTACTCTGCAAATTCTCTCTCTCCTCATTGTTCTTCTCTCTCCCCCCACCAAGTCTCTTTGTTGCAGAGAATAATGGAACATGTTCTTTTTTTTTCATTTTTGAAGTACGGACGTAGGGATTTGGACTTGGGGTTGGTGATATGGATTTTGTTTGATGGAAAGATGGCTGAGGGAATATTTCATATTAATTAACCATAAAACTGTAATTTAACTTTTACATATAATTCATTGTTTTCTTATAAGAGATAAACATTGAATGTGCAAGTAAGAGATGATATGTACTTACCAGCTGAATGGATGCTTTGTGTCTGTTTGTGTCGTTAGGTAAATTCAAACAGAGCTTAATTTCGACTGAAAAAGCAAGCAATTTAAAAAGAAGAACAAGGATTTCCAAATGAAGAGGTCTGACTTAAAACTCGAATAAGAGCCCATTTTAAACAAATTGCGCTCTACAACAAATGTATTAATCATTATTTTGTGGATCAACTCAAAAATATTTTCACTTGAGACAAAAGAAAGTGATATGATAAGAATAGTCGCTTGCTGAAATTAAACGATCGTTATATCCAGTGAACTTAAATTTTGAGTGGTTGTGAAGCTGCAGGAGAAGAAGACATTTCAAAAGGAGACGCCCCACACCAAAACGTTTGCAATACGGCATTGCATTATCGTACTACTTTTTATTTTCTTTTTTGCTTTTTCTATTTTTTATTTATAATTTTTTAAATGTTTTTATTTTTTTTATTTTATGAATGCTTTTTTGCATTTTTTTCACATGTTTTGTTCTTTTCTATTCTTATTTCGCTTTTTTATTTTTCTTATTTTGCCAATAGTTTTTTATAATAAATTTTATTTTTGTCTCTCAAATTATAATTACCTTCATATTTTACTTTTTAAATTTTAAAAAGTGGTCTATTCACCTCTCGAAGTTTAAAATATTTGTATGAATACCTTTCTGTTACATTCTGTTAATTGTGAGCTGATGCGGAGCGAAATTAAACTAAAAAAACTTGATTTATTCTATAAAAAAAAAAACTAATAATAAAACCCATATGATCATTAACTTTAAATTAAGAAACAATCCATTCCCCTTAACGTAATTCTCTGCCGGCCGGTTGGACATCAGCATCATCTCTCTAATCCTTGAGGTCACTTGGCTTTCTCTCCCTAAACAAAGTCAAAAGCTATGATTTTTCCGCTTTCGATTCCCGATCAGCACCACCTTGGACATAGTTGGTCTTTTTGGTTAAAATTTGATGAGTGAGTTTTACTCGCTCATTTGGTATCGTTTTATATTTAATATCTAGTTGGTTTCGAGATTTTTGTTAGTTTTTATGTGTGTTTTCGTTCTTTGTTTGAAGGATATGTGGAAGTCTATGATTTGGAAGGTTTTGGACAAATTTCGGTGAAAAAAGACAGCAATCATAGCGCTTAGGCGCCAATCTGTAGCGCATTGGCGCTGACTTATACGGAATCAGCAATTTGGGCAGAACTGGTGGCGCTTTGGCGCCAGTTTGTAGCGCCGCGGCGCTGAAATCCGGCAGAAATTGTGCACTGGGCAGAATGGGCAGCGCTTAGGCGCCCATTACAGCGCCGCAGCGCCCAGGAGTTTGACACAACAGCGCCGCAGCGCTGGAAACTCAGCGCCGCAGCGCTACGACGCGAGAAATTACGCGTTTTGAAGGCCAATCGCGAGAAAACTTACTCGTTTTGACCCTAACGCTCCGAAACATATAAATAGATTATTCTAGGGCAATTAGAAGAGACTTTTAGACTGTGGAATGACGGCTGGCTTTTGAGAGAGTATTCAAGAGAAGAAAAGGAGAATTGGGACGGAGAAGAAGAACGGCTCAAATCCGGAGACGGAGACGCTTCAATTCAACTCCAAACTAGTTCTTTTCTTTCCTTTCCAATGATTAAGACTTTGTATAGGAATTTATTTTGTTTAGAGATGAACTAATTCCTTTTTCTAGGGCTACGATGTAGCCGGATTATGAATGTTCGAATTCTCAATCTTCTTTTTAAGTAATTGATGTTTAATCCATATATGCTGAGTATTTCAATTTATTCTTAATGCTTGTGATTGTTTGGCCAACTATTACATGATTTTGTATTTGATTTGAGACTGAGAGGTGATAATTGAATAAGCTCTTAATTGAAATACCATGAGTTGTTCATAGGATAGAGATATCTATGATGCTTGTTGCTTTAGAGAAATTGCTGTCAGTATAGGATTGAATGTTAATTTGCTTGAATTATGAGAATTTGAACATGATTAATTTGGTGAAATCGGAAACCCTAGAATCTTAATCTATTGAATTTTCATCCGTTGCTTAGCATTGTTTAATTTATTTAATTGTTTTAGTTTTGCTTTACTTAATTTTATAAACTCTCTTTTCAAGTATTCAAATAAAATTAGGGTTAATATAATTTCGGTAATTAGTAAACAACAATCCTCGTGGGACGATATTCTTATTCACTATTATATTACTTGATTGCGATAGCGTATACTTGCGTTACGATTTTTCACAACAAGTTTTTGGCGCCGTTGCCGGGGATTGTTTTGTTTTTACTAATATCGATACCAAATAACTCTAGATTTACTTTGAATTTTATTTTGTTATTTATTTTCTTGTTCTTGTTTAGTGCTCTACAGGAGTTTACTTTACCTGCATGCAAAAGCTTGGGAGCAACAGTCTACTACCTCTGGATTTAGAAATTGAGCATACCTGTCGAAGAAACCGAAGAGAGAAGAGAGAAGCTGTCATTCAGTTGCCAGAAGTGATGGTTAATCCTGAAGGAGAAATAAATGGGAATAATCAACCACTGAACAATCCACCGGTGGTCAATCAGCCAATGGCTTTGCGAGATTATGTATTGCCACCAACCGGTGTTCAATCAGTGATCAGGAAGCCTGTTATTCAAGCGAATAATTTTGAATTGAAGTCGGTGATGTTACAGATGATTCAAGCAATCCAATTTAATGGATTGCCGAATGAAGATCCTAATGCTCACATCGTAAATTTTCTAGAGATTTACGATACTGTTAAATACAATGGAGTTAATGATGAAGCTCTTCGCCTTCATTTGTTTCCTTTCTCTTTGAGAGATAAAGCAAAAAGTTGGTTGAACTCACTGCCGCCAAATTCGATCACTAGTTGGGAAGACTTAGTTCAGAAGTTCCTTTCTAAGTTTTTTCCACCGGCTAAAACAGCGAAGATGCGCATCGAGATCAACAATTTTGCTCAATATAAAGGTGAAACTCTATATGAAGCATGGGAGAGATACAAGGAGCTGCTGAGAAGATGTCCTCATTATGGTCTACCTAAATGGATGCAAGTCCATAATTTTTATAATGAACTGAGTGGCACTACAAGAACTCTAATTGATGCATCTGCAGGAAGAGCATTAATGAAGAAAACTGAAGATGAGGCATATGAGTTGCTAGAAGATATGGCAACCAATAATTACCAGTGGCCTAGTGAAAGAAGCATACCAAAGAAGATAGCCAGAGTACATGAGATAGATGCCATCACTAAACTCACGGCCCAAATTGCTTCACTTTCCAAACAATTGCAAAATAATCATCTGA